TGCTGGGAAAAGTTCCCGGAAAAGCAGTTCCAACCACACCAAATGCCAATTTAAAAAATGCTGCCGTGAAAAAACCTGAAAGTTCATCCGATAGCACTTCCAGTAGCGATGAGGATGCAAAGAACGGCTTGCGACCACCTGTGCTGGGAAAAGTTCCCGGAAAAGCAGTTCCAACCACACCAAATGCCAATTTAAAAAATGCTGCCGTGAAAAAACCTGAAAGTTCATCCGATAGCAGTTCCAATAATAATGACACAGGCAAGAGTCTGAAGTTGTCAGTGAATCAAAGCACAAGAAAATCTCTTGCACTGCAAAAGGGTGACAAATTCAAGGATAATAGAAGTTTAGGTAAAACCGCTAATACGCCGGCTAGGATATCTAAAATAATTGCGTCTTCCGCTGGGAAATTCCAGACCACGAATGATTTAGATGATAGCAGTTCAGATTCTGAAAGTGAAATTAACGAAGCATCAGTTAAGAAGGTAAAACTGCAAGTACATGAGCAGATGACGGGGACAATTCAGAAAAAGGCAGAAGATACGAGTTCCTCGAGTTCTAGTGACAGCGATAGCTGTAATGCAGTGAAACCGGCAAGAAATACGCAAAAAAATTCTGCGGATATCCTGAATGGCGAATTGAATAGTACCATGAAAAGTAGCTCAAAGAATGAATCATGTCGTGAAGCAGAGAAGAAGGCTGTGGCAACAAAGGCATCTGGGGATAAGACTTTTGCAAATGAGGATACGTCGTCTTCTGATTTGAACAGTGGTAGCGAAGTAAAGAAAATGCAAAGTGCAGCACTTGTAAATGTTAAACAGTCGAAGAAAACATCGCGACAGGTGGTCGTCCAGTCAGAAGTGAAGCCTAGTTCGTCATCTGATTCATCTTCGGATTCCGAAACAGTTTTTCCTAAAGGAACAGCGCAGAAGCAGCAGTCAGTTAGACTGGAACATCGGCAAGAAGTGACTGGGAAACAAAAATTAGTAGATGATAGCTTCTCTGATGGTACTTCATCTGATGATGTTGCAGCGAAGACAGCTGTAACGAAAATTTCCGCTGTCAGTAAAGCTACTATCATATCACCGAAACATTTGAATCAAAAAGCAGCAGAAAAACTGCCGAGTAATTCTAAGCTTTCTGCGGAAAGGGATTCCGATACTTCATCAGATTCAGATTCAGATGAAGCTGCTTCGCAGTCGTATACCGACGCAGTACAGATAAATGGCAAGTATATGGCCACCAAGGATTCAGCTACTTCATCAGATTCAAGCTCAGACAGTGATGTGGCCTCAAAGAAAAGGAATGTGAAAGCTACTTTTAAGCAAGCTAATAAAGGGACTTCCAAAGTTGACGATTCTACAAAAGAAACAGCAGCAGGGCAGCGAAAGTTAACAGTAACAGGATCGGGTAAAATGGATTCTCATTCATTGAGTAACACCTTAGAATCAAATGCTAAAAGTTTAATCGCTGAAAATTCACTTGGAATGGCGAAGGCATTTGACGATTCTTCGTCAAATGGTAATAACAAACGCAATAATAAAAGGTCAATTCTTCAGAATACCCTTAACTTCCTCGTTTTTTTTCACTTTCTTTTATTGATACTGTAAACATATTGATTGTTTTGAATTTCTCAAATATACTTGTTATGTTTTTCTTGTCTCACTTACCTTACATCTGTTTTTGGCCTTTTTTTAGGAAAGCTGACAATACTTCAGGGAAAACTGCTGATACTGTAAAAGCATTTTCGTCTAAAGAGGTATTAATTTAACTTTTAAGTCTCGAAATGTTTGGTAGATAATTCAGTAGCAAAGAAGTGGAGTTGGTTGAATTGAATGGATGGGACCATAATTTTTTTCAGGATAAAAATAAAAATCGGACTCGAAAAAATACAGACTCGAAAATGGAAATCAAAGATGTGGATGTAAAGGATGGAAGTGATAGCATGCAGAAGGGGTTTGTGTTTAATCTTAAACTATCACTAATCATGATTGGGTTATGTGACACCTTCAGTAGGATTTTGTGGGAAAAGCATAGAATATTTTTGTGTATCGAGGATTTTTGGCAATACATGAAAAGAGTAAACATTTTTTCTATGTTTACATTATAGAGTGGACAATAATCAAAACGCTATGAGTAAAAACAGTGGCAAACAGCAGAAGAAGGTATGTCAGAGTTATGATTTTCATTTTTTTCATTGTTAATGTAGTTTAACTTGTATGGCTCTCAGATATTGTTAGTAATGCTGGTAGCTGCTGCCGATATTCGCCATTCTTGAATGTGATGGTTTACGGGAGGAGTCGAAGCATGTTTGTTTCCTGTGTAAGCATTCCACAGTTTTTCCGAGCACATCACTATATTTCTCACCGCTCTGAATTCAATATAAAGTCTGAAAGTTATTATAGATTGTGAGGAATGAACCATTTCGTCGAGTGAGGAGATCGAAGGATGAATTGGATGACAAGTTTCGCGATAACTCTTATCGTGCCAAAGTACAACTTTGTACAACTTTAATATAACATTTTTCTCGATTTTTTCTTTTTTTTTAAGGAAGAATATAAAAATTCACTCGGCTCAAACATCCTTTTTTATCTCTTACTTGCTTTTATGATTTATCATCAAACTAAGAAAATAATATAAGTCATTGGAATTTTTAGCTTTGAAATTTGGTTGTGGTCCATATTTTTGGAGCTGCATCATCGAAATGTCTTGCTGTTTGAAATGGCAATCTATATTCTGTTTGAAATATTTATAATTTTTACATATTCATTTTGCTTATTGATGTTGTTCTTTCATTTAGACCTACGACCAGTGGGGGAGGAAAGCGTATGAAGATATGAGAAATGTACAAGGCAAAGGATTTCGGCATGAAAAAACGAAGAAGAAACGCGGATCTTATAATGGCAGTGGTACGAAAATTGATATTAGTTCTCACTCTATTAAATTTAGTAGTGATAGTGATTGAAAAAATATTTTTCTGAACATCGTGTCTTTGTGGATGTTAATTCATGTAAGGAATTATGAATTATTGATGTTTCCATTTTATTAGTTAATTTGATATTTTGCACAAAGTTGACATTCTTTATTTTACACTTTGTTAAACAATTATGTGGCTATCGCTTTCAGAGTTTTTATCCGATCCGTTCTTATTGCTGTGAGTTTATTCTGTTTCGAATTTTTTGCTGATCAGTTGTTCTTATTCTTTTTCTGATTAAAACCAGCAACATCTGTAGACTTTCTTTTAGTGGTGCTTGTTGATTTCTTTGACGGGATTATTAGTCATTGCTTCTACGACGAGATTGTTATTGAAAACTGTTGAAAATTCAGATATTTTTATTATTTGGATGAATATAAACGTTTATTTCACTGTAGAATTTCATGTTTCCAGTTCACTTAAAGTTTCTGGAAGATTTCATATTTCTATGTAGGGGAAAGTAATTTTCATTTTCGGTACCGAAACATTATTTGGAAATATTCCACTAAAGACTTCTAATGCTAATATTTTCCTCTGATTTCTTCAACATATATGTGCATTGCCTTCAGTAAGTTAGTATTCAGTGTATTTCATCTTTACTGCTGCACTGAGACTCACGCATTTAGTATTTGTCAAATTTAAAGTTATTTGACGTTATATCGAATTACGGTGAAGTGAAATGGTTAATTTATATTGCGAATGGACGCATAAGTGCCAAGTACTGTGAATGGAAGAACGGCTTAAATTGATCTGATGGCTTTGATGGGAGGTTGCATCTCTATCTGGGCCTAATTTGTTCTCTACGCTGATTCTCTTTTATATAACATTTCCTTGTTGCTGTTCAGATGAAGAAATTAGTAGGATAAAAAGAAATATGTGTTGATAGAGGTTGTGCATAGGTTGAAAATTTCGACGGCATGAGTGTCCCGCTTTTTATCATCTTACATTATATATGCGATTCCGTATCGAATATGTGTTATTGCAAAAAAGTGATGATAAAGTGCAAAATACTGTTAGATCATTGAAACAATATGGGAAAGTCGAGAACGAATTCGCATTCAAATGCTGACGTAAAGATGGAGGTGGATGATGATGTGAAGCCATCGGTAAATGATTTAGGTGACAGCATAATGGAAACACCATTGTCATCTAAGGTTGGCTAGTTATAGCATTTTAATATTTGGCGATTTGTTTTGTGGTGGATGTGACGGTCATTGGTAGTTTATATTGAATTAATTATATATTGTCATCAGTTGATATAAGAGAGAATTACCGAATGTGTTTTGATCGTATTGCGTTGGCTATAATAGGGTAAATTATGAGGAAAAGTGGAGTTTAATTTTTGATGTTTCGAATGGGCATTCATGCAGGTCGCTCATAACGTAGTACTTTGCTTGCTAGCTTGTCGTTTCAAAATCCATAATTCATAACTTCATATGGTGAACTCATTTTCTGTTTTCTGTGAGTTGATTTTCCTCGAACTGGAAGAATTTCAGGATGAGTATGACCAACTTTGTACTATGGTTAATGCTATTGCGCATCCACTTGCTCCAAGAAAAGTGGCAAAGAAAATTTACAAATTAGTAAAAAAGGTAAGATTTGTTTTTGCTATTTATGATTTTGCTTCGTACGATTCCCTTACAATGTTATTCATTATGAAAAAATGTTTGTGATTTAAAGGATTGACTTTTTCTAGGCTTCTAAGGATAAGCAATATTTGAGACAAGGGATGTGCGACGTTCAAAAAGCTTTGAGAAGAAATGAAACTGGTGTTGTTGTGCTTGCAGGTAGGATTTTTAATCGAGATTGGATAAATCAGCATATTCTATATGGTCATATACTTGTTGTTTGACATTGAGCAGTGATCTCTGAAATAAGATTGTTCGGTAAAGCAATGTTCAACTCGTTTTACGTAGAGTATTTTTAACGCTTCCGAATTGTAGGAAACTTTTAATGAACAACTGTTTAAAGAGCCGTTTATTCAAAGTTCCCTGTAATTTTATGCATTGGAAATAGCCGCATAGAGTTCAAAACTGTCTTGTAGAAAAAACATTGGAAAATAATATATTTACAGGTAATGTATCACCAATAGATGTTTATTCACATATCCCAGGTATATGTGAGGAAAAAGATATTCCATATATATTTACACCATCACGTGAGCATCTCGGATTAGCCACTGGTAAGATTTCGGAATTCTATCTTGCAGTTAATTTGAGTTTATCCTAAAGTAAATACGTATTTTTCGATAACACTCAGTTTTACCGTGGAAACGGTTCTAAATTTCTTTCAGTAGTAGTTCGCAATGTTTTTCGTATGGTCATTTTTTTTATTTGTTATTTTACTGTTAGATGGTTTGATTTAACTTCACAATATATTTAAAATGTTTGGTGCATTTCTAGTTCTATTTTTAACATTTTCATATTTATCTGAGACGAATTGATTCCTTGTTAGAAATCTTACTTGAATTTGCTTTCGTATTTCCAATCTGATGAAATGTTTCAGGACATAAAAGAGCGGCTATACTACTTCTCATAAAAGAACATTCAGATTATGCAGATTTGTTCCATGAAGTATCTGAATTGATCAAAAGGATTACACCCGATGTTTGACAGAGAAACTTTGTTTGCTGGAATTGTTATCTTTTGCTCCTGTATAAAGATCTCCATATATTTTGTCATGCACTTTTCGTTCACTCGCTTGATTTGAAATAGCTATCGCTATGGCAGAAATAGTTTTTGAGAAACCTCTTTCTATTTGTTTGGGATTTAAATTAGGAATAACAGTTATTAAATACCGAAACTGCTGGGTAATAGTACTGATAGGAAAGAATTATAGTTCTCTATCGGTTTCCAGTACTATGACTTAATAGTTTAAAATAGTGATCTCGAATAAGTAGTATCCAAAGGCTAAAATTGAATAGAGTGTTTAATTGTCGCATGACGCTGTGTCGTATATTCTTATAAAGATATGGAAGGCTCTTCACTAGTGTTTTGTATTATTTGTAGTGTGGTTTGGTTGAGTGAATAACGGCCATGCCTGTTGTGGGTTATCGGTCTTTTTTATAACTGTTGTAACGGTAAGAGAAGGAGGAAGTTCAGTGTAGCATGTAAAAACATTTGAATATTAACATCATATTTCTACATTTTATAAGTATGCAAGCGGAAATAGCAGGACTGATGTATATGAATGAATTTGTAAAATGAGCAAAAAGAAGAAATGAACAAATGGAAAAATTAAATAATATTTTCAAGCAAATGATGTGGTGGAATTATATTAGCATGCCATAATCAATAATAATGAGGAGAAGATCATTTATTCATTATTAATAATTATTTTAAATGGAAGACACGTAACATATACCGGAATTTCTATTAATTACATAAATTAAGATAAAAGGGGAATGAAGAGATAAAAAATTTCCAATACTTAAAAATTCCCAATAATATTTCCGATCATTTCATTCTCAATCAAATGAATGGAAATAAAGGAATGAAAGAAATATGCTTCATATTGTTGCTTCTTTTTCTCCCTTTTTTTCATTCTATTTAACATCAGAATTGATAAAAATTGCTTACAATTTCCTTCGAAGAAATAAAAACTCAGTTGTTTAAATAGTGAAAGTTAAAAGTTTATAAACAAAAAAAACAATTTTCATGATGTATGGTGAATTTATATTTAAAATAATGATATCTGTAAAAATTCATTTTGCTATTAGAATTAGGTAAAAAAAAAATTGGTAATAAATGATTAAAAAAAGAAAATGGCGAGATTATTTGGCTTGTAAACGATTGGTTACAATGCAAAAATTATTTCGTCGTTTTTTTTTTTCATTTATTTTTATTTTTGAATGAAACAATTGTTAAGCAGTTGCATCATTATGAAATGAATCTTATGAAACTCTATACATAAAAGCAATGCAACAACAACAAAAACAACTTATTAGTATTATTATTACTCAACTGATAATAGTATGTAACAAAAATCGAATAAATTGCTTTTTATATCAATGATTGATATAAATTATTTTTATAGCAATCATTGATATAAGCAAAATTGCACAATTATCGTACAATTATAAGTCGTCTTCTATAACAATGATGCGCAACGGCTAAAAAAGTTCGCCAGAAATTTTTTTCTAGTAATTCAATCTTTTGATGTTTTCGAAA